GACATTTAGACACGTACGCGAGAAGGTTTTATGGGATTTCCAGAGAAATTGATGAGAATACAATTTCATGCAAACTCCTCTCGTCAGCAACAGATTCTTCACAATTTAAGGTGATTGATACAGTGCAGAACTGAAAGTCTAAATCAGGCCGTTGGAAAAAGTGAAGAAAATACGATAAATGTTTTATGGGGTTTCTAGAGAAAAGAAAGAAAGAAAGACAATGAAAGATAATCCCATATGTCGGTTGTCAAGTTTACCCGTTTCAACATATTACCACGTCTCTAACCCGCAGTAGCGAAACGAGCTGTCGTAGTGTCGACAAACTATTTAAGAAAGGAGCGAAAGACATACGTTTCGTATGCAAACTGAAATCCACTGTAATCTCCTAAAACCTTCCAAAGACTGACATTTTCTCTAGAAACCCCATAAAACATTTATCGTATTTTCTTCACTTTTTTCAACGGCCTGATTTAGACTTTCAGTTCTGCACTGTATCAATCACCTTAAATTGTGAAGAATCTGTTGCTGACGAGACGAGTTTGCATGAAATTGTATTCTCATCAATTTCTCTGGAAATCCCATAAAACCTTCTCGCGTACGTGTCTAAATGTCAGATCTGGATTGTCCGCAAAAAATAACTTACACAAAGTGATTTTCATCGGTTTTCGCCGATGTTAATAAAAGACAATTCCGTGAAAACTCGCTGGTTTTCTAGAAGCCTTTTCACCCAGATGCTTTGTACCGGCATGAGATTTTTTACTGAAATACATAGAACTCACTTCGCTGTTTCGTTTGAGACCAGAATGAAGGTTCTACAACACGTCCTCTATCTACACGAAGCTCTGCAAGATAGGTCATTTCTGCTGAAAAATGAACAAAAAAGCCATTTTTCACTGGGACAGTATTTTGCATATAACTTTTGTTCCGAAAAAGATGAGAGCTGGCGTTTTCACCATTGAAATCAGCGTCCAAAACTGCATCTAGCAATGTGTGTCGCGCCGCTGGCGTAAATAGTTTTGTATAACGTGGTATGTTCCCTGTGGATTAACCCACTCATAAAGTTCCGTGGTCAAATAGCTCAACTGGTAAATGCACAGGTATGTAAAACAAAGTGGCACATGTTCGAATACAATCTATTTTTCTATCCTTCTTTCGTTTAGACCAGTCCGGACGATGTCAGCTACTACCTAGCTGACTAGTCAACACCTAGCGCTAGACATTATTCTACGTTATTGTTTTTTTGCGTTTCCTAGGTTGCGCTGACGGGCACTGTGTCTCTTAAACGAGTTTATAGTCAAGAGGTGTACAGATGACGCCTAAAACTTCCCAATTCATTTGTTTGCCCGTTAATTGTTCAGTTTGGATATTTTGTAATTTCGAATACATTTGTGCGCCCTAAAATTCGATTCTCTATATTATCTCATACTGACATGTCAGATTTTCTGTCTCTAGTTCACTTGATATAGGTGACAATAAGAATAACGGTGTAGTTTCACCATCATTTAAAGGAATACAAATGGCACCAAATAATTTTTAATACGATAGAGTGAATATGACATTCGCTGTAATGTATTTTATTTTGTTTATCTAATGCTATTATCCATTTCAAAATATAATGCACCCCATTGTTCTTTTAATAACTTTGACAGAAAATAGCTAGACAGCTACGCGGATAGTAGTGTTAAAGTATAATTTTACGATTTCTTTATCAGTAAAATTAATTTTATTTTGGTTAGGAAAGTGATGAACAGTTGTTTATGCTGCTTGATTTTCTTACTGGTGTGTGAATCGTTATGGACACTAAACGAAAAGAAATCTTCTGAAAAAAAATTTATTTTGCTACATAGTGTTAAAGTGATTTCAACAAAAAAACAGATGGGATCATTATGTACTTCTGGAAAGTAAATCATTGTTCTAACATAGTAAATCGACAAATTACATTTATCGAATCAGCATTATCATCCCATCGAGCACAAATATCTACATTCCCATCGACTATAATTGTTTTCTTCAAAATATTATTTTTGTATTCATCTTTATTTGGTATAATGTAATCTTCACCGTTGTGTATTTTAAGAACATTGGCATCAGGAATTTTCATATGTATTAATAATTTTTCATTTTTGTATACAAGACGACGAAGTGGTTCGATAATTGAACAATTGTATTTGGTAAACGGTTGATACAGTGTAGGAAATGTGGGTGCTTGTGAGACATCCTTCACATTTAAACGCATTTGTATTGCATCTTTATACGATGTTTCGGTATCATTTTTTGCATATATTGTTATATCATACAGGCCATCAATTGGTGCAACAAGATAGCAATTATAAAGATCTTCTTGCTCATTATCACGTTGACATAATGTATGTAAATCTCGTGGATATTCAATGTCACCTGTTGATAATTGAACCATTATTTGTACATCTTTCGATGCTTTAATAATAATCTTGAATGGATTTTGATTGATTTCATTGAAGCCTTGTTTAGGAGATATTAAATTTAAATTCAAACGATAATACGTTGATTTCATCACTGGTAAACTCAAAAATTCACTTTTTGTTATTTCCGGTGATAATAATTGAAATCCATTGGAATAATGTGTATAGATCAGTTGTTCCGGTGAGGTGAGAAAATAAAAATCTTCTAATTTAACTTTTCCGCTCTTGTCATTCTCGCTGCTACCCCATGTTGGATCAACCAGATAATGATGTTTATCAATAACAACTGAATTCCACGCATGTTTACTATCTTCTAATTTTTCACCATATTTTAAAAATTTATTTTTCACGTAACCGGATATTTCAATACAATCAATAGACATCAATGTGCAACATTCATGATATAGACTAACCATACCACGACAAACACCACGACGAGTTTCGAACACCGTTGCTGCATTATTAATGCCACAAGAAGAATCATATTTGATATTTGTACATATCCAACAAAATAATAGCCATGAACGTTCCAGTTCAGTTTGACTGTACAATTTGATTTGATCAGTTAATGCGTCCATGCTTTTTATTTGTGACCATTGATTGACATATTCACGTAGTTTGGCATTTGTTACAACCTCATGTCGTTGTTTCCACCATTGAGCATCTATTCGTGTTTGTGTTTGATCGGTGATTAGTTTTATTTCGTTTAAAGGTGGCTGTTGTCTAGTGTGTTGTTGTTGTCGAGGATTTTGATTTGTTGTCGATGCTGTTGGAGACAGGTTATTTTGTTTTATTGTTTGTACAACAGTATTAATTAACGAATTTTTTTCATTTTGTATTGATTGCACAAATGAATTTTTTTCTTTTTCTAATGTTTTTTTAATTTCATCATTCATTGTTTCTTTTAAACTATCAGTTAATATTTTTTTTTGTTCTTTCAATGTATCAGTAATGATTTTTTGTATTGTATCAATTATTTGTTGTTCGTCAATAAGAGTCGTTGTCATCGGCGAAGGTATTGTTATTGGAGATACTTGTTTAACAGCGGTGGTAAGAAAATTTTTTTGTTCTGTGAATGTTTTTACAATTTCTTGTTTTTCCATATTCAGTGATTGTCTCATATTCGAAATAAATGTATTGCTCTCGTTACCTAATGTTGTCAAATGATCATTCATTTCTTTTTTTATACTGTTCATTAATAACATTTTTTCTGATGTCATTGCTTCTGAAACTGTATTTTTTATCATGGAATGTAATTCTTCTTTAGATACAACGTCTGGTGTGTTGTCATCATTCTTTTCCGCTGATTTATTTTCTACTAGCGATTTTTTTCGATATCTTGCTGTTTTTGAACGATATGCAGCTCTGATCGGTTTTTGTTGTTGTTGTTGTTCACTACCGAAGGATGCGTCAAGCTGACGATTTGTTCGAGCTTTAGCCGTTTTTGGCCTTTGTTTACTTGTTAACCGATCGACAGATCGTCGTTGTTGATGATATTCTTTCTGGTTTGGTGGCGCAGGATGTCGCCTTCTTGATAGTGATTTTGAACGACGTGTTGGTCGTTGTTTACACATAAAATATTCATTAAAATCATTTGGTTTCTTTTTATGTCGTCCAAGAACATGATAGAGTGATGAACCAATTTTTAATGAATAAGCAATATCGAAATCCATTGTGTCTAAAAGCTTTGTTTCGTGAATAAAAATGTCTTTTTTTTACTCTTTGTATGAACTGAAAAAAAAATTTATTACTCTATTATTGTTATATTCAAATATCTGTCTTTTTCTTTTCTTCTTTTTTTAATAAGAATGTAATCAAGACGACATGGATACGACAACAAGAACATTACACTTTATTTTTTTCTATTAGAAAATTTCATTGTTTTCGGTTTCAGACAATGAAAGAAAACAAATAAAGCAACCAATTTCAGCTTTCTGACTTGAAGAAAGAAGAAAAAAATTTTCTAGACGTGAAAGAGAAATGAGCCTTCTTCATAATGTAAAAGTAAAAAAATCAATCAAATGATGAAACGTGTCAATAATAATTACAAACGTTTTGAATACTAATTACAATCAAAGAAAATGGATTGATAATACCATCATTTTCTGACACGTATTTTTCCAAAGCAGTCGTAAATCAGTCAAGATTTTGGAATCCTTCTTTATATACACTAGAACTAGTCATCTCTCATCGTCAGAAACATGAACTCTCTTGAAATCTCAACGTAGAAAATATACTGTCTGTCAAAAAGGAATGTACGTAGTCATTCTTTGAACAGTTCAAGAACTGCAAAAACTAGAGATCTGTGGTTTTCACCAGTCGATAGCGCATAACTTACTGCACCTTTTATGACAAAAAAATCCCGAAATTGGTTTTTCAGAAAATCTTTGGGAAATCAGGTCAGAAGTACCAAATTTTAAATAAAACCCGAACGGTTTTTTCCACGTCAGTAATAGCCAGAAGTGTTCGACATCTATGTCAGATCATAATGGATATTCAAAAAAACCTGCCTCAGCATATTTAAGGACTTCGCCCTCTATTCAAATTTTGAAACAGTAAATTTACGGACTTCGCCGTTCAATGGTTAAGTAGTTCAAGAGTTTCCGAGTACAGACTCTCGCATTTCAATATGAAATTTTTTACTGTTCCAGTTCTGGTTTGACTGAAAACGCCAGAATTCCTCAAGTTTCGAACAGTCAGCAAGTATAGACCATTCGCTCACCATCTGCTAAGCTAAAAACACATGAGTTTTCATCGATCTGTATTGTCAGATTATAAGCTTTTACTGTTCAGTGCAGTCTTCAGTGATGGACATCAAAATTCCCAAGAAGCATTGAATTTTATAGTGATATCGTTTTTTTAGAAGCATATCTAGGATGCTACTTACATTTACCGAGAATGAAAAAAATTCAGTCTATTAGCAGCGATCTCTGTCTTTTGGATGTCGCTACGTCCGGCGATGTGCCGTCAATTTGTTACAAGAAGGACGGATAACAAACCAAGCCGTGATCGAAGTAACTGACTGCTTTCTTGCCCAGAATGAATTAAAACCAATCTCTCTCTTGCCGTTTATAAACGAAGAAAATCGAAGCTTTTCAATGAAAATGTTGGTCGAGACTACTATGGCTTGTCATTCGACCATCATGGAGACAAAAAATCTAAGGCGTTCTTCACGGCATGACTTCGACATAGATGGAAACATCATCAGCAAACAGACTTTATCAATTAGTCTCAAAAGTGACAAAACCCATATCTCAGACTTGCTTGGACTTAGTTTTTACCACAAATTTTCATTCAGTAACAAATTCACAAGTTATGCAGCAACTATCTCCACTTTGTGATCATTATATGGTAGAATTTTCAGTCGGACATTTTGACACTACTTCTTTCAAATATCAAAGGGAAATTTACGACTATAAAAATGATACTTTTTTTCGAAAAAATAGTAGCTCTGTGGAGAGAGCAAATTTAGCCCTCTATTTCGAGATTGTTCATTCTCGTGCCGGTGAGTGGAAAAGTTTGCGCTGTCGCCGCCGAAGACGAAAAAGATTATGAAATTAGGCGCCGCCGCCGATCAAAATTCAAACACCGCTGCCGAACATCTTTTTACCGGCGCACATGTCTGAAGGTAAAGAGTTCGTTCACTCTCACGACTCTTTATTTTTTCATCAATGAAATGTAGTTTCTTAATCATCATTAAGAAAAGTGCAGAAATTAGTTTAGATAATTATTAATATTTGACATGAAAGTGTTCCATCTGTTTTTTCACAATGATCGAAGAAATAAGTGGATAATGACGAAAATTATAACGAAATGATTGAAGCACATCATAATGATCAATAGAGGATCTGCTGTCACGTAGTCAAAACTTGAGTCAAGTGATGTATGTACGACCAATTTGTTTATTAGCATGTTCATCATGTTTTCGCAGTTTTCTCTCGCTGATCAAGTGTATACACATGAAAAGACTGGTATATTAGATTTTCTAAACGATATTATTCAATCAGACAATTAGTTCTTGTGTAGTTTGTATCTATAATAATAATACTACTTCTAACAACAAGCTTGGCCAGAACTGTCTCGTCGAGCTCTGTAAAATGATATGTAATAAAATTAAATTCAGTGCGGTTTTCATGTGTGTATAAGGAATTTAGTTCCAAGAGATATTTTGCTACAAAATTCTCACAGAATACTTTTCTGAGGAACAGCAAAATATGTGTTAAGCCCAGACTTTGGACATACACTCTACATCACAGAAGAATAAAAGGGATATAAAACTCGCATAGAAAAGTTGAGTATTAGAGGGGGGTATTACAAAATAAAGGAAATTCCAAAATTATACCTCTGCGCTATGACTTTGAGTACCTCTGGTAAAGTTTTTAGCTCGATTGGATGAAACTTAACGCAGGTTGCAATGTGGTCGAATAAAAAACCGAGTTAACTGGAAAACTGGTGAATGGCAATAGTTAAAAACTCGAAACAAAAACCAAAAAGGGATCCATTGAGTTTCCGATCAGTTCTGGAAATATGAAGCCTTAGTGAGTTTTAGTTTTTATTTCACAGCATTTCTACCGAAAGCCCAAAATGAAGGGAGGGATACCATTCACGACTCGGTAGTATTTTTTTTTCCTTTATTGACATTGTTTCTGTTTCGCTTTTACATTTAGTTAAATATGTGCGAATAATCGGATAGGGCAATATTCCACTTTATCCCATTTGAATGTGCTCTTTTGAGAGAAAAAAACGCTTAACAAAGAACTGATTTTTCTCTCTGCAATGCGTAACAAATCTTGTTATGTCTCTGTTGCAAAGTCTGTACAATGTACATTGTATACACTCATGAGTCAGTGTAATCGGCAAAACGCCTATCGTTTATTTATTATTTAATTTTCAATATGAATGTTGGATAACATGCGTAATGTTTTTTAAGAAAACTGAAGAATACCATCGTAACACTCATATCCATCACTGGTAATGAATTTGTCTGGTAGAATTCGAAAATGATTTTTTTCATAAAATCGAATTTCTCGCTGATTACTAATCAGTACGCCACCCCATAGAATCATCCGCTTTTTACCCATACGTTTAGCTAAATCGATCGTCCACTGTAAAAGTTTGGTGCCCAAATGCTGATTTTGATATTTGTCGATGATGCACGGTCCAAATCGTACGTCACTTTCGGCATCTGGTTTCATACTGTATTTGTGAAATCGTTCGATGTCAGAATCCACCAGATCGAGGCTAAATTCGAACAGAGCAATAATTTTTCCGTCCTCATTAATAGCTACCATTCGTAATTTATCGTACTAATTGATATCATAACAAAATTCCTGTGCATATTTCAAATCATAACTGGGATACATAGCAAACAGACGTGTCTCTGCTGATAAACTTTCAAAGAATTCAGCTAGCATTAAATCATCATTGTGCAGTAGCGGTCGAAATATAATTTCTTCAGAGCCAGTTGCTTTTAGTAGAATAAAACAATGCGTAACTAGAGCTGGATTTTCTGCAATCTTATCCAGTGTCAATAAATCTGTCGTTTCCATGCGCTACGTCTAAAATTTGTATTCACTATAATTTCTGCTGCTTTAGAATGTTACGAGAATATATTTTCACATAGGTTGTTACTATTCTTTCGTCATCACTTTCGAAATGACGAAAGAATAGTGCTCTTTTCTCTTTTTGACATTCCACATGTTCTGTTTTTCTCTCTGTTCTTCACAGATATATACAAAGATATTAGGGGACTTGCAACAAGTATTGTTTCTTAAATTCTGAAGTAACTATTCATCGGGTTTCGGCGACCTCTGGGTGCTCGAGGTTTTCCGACATGACGCATCCACTGAGATACGTAGTTTTTTTTATTGGACCGATTGTTACTCAGATCTGAACATTAACCTTTTTTTTCTGATCCTCGCTCATTAGTTTTTTTATAACTCGGTGATAATGCACAAGTTAAGGTTTAAATTACTTGTGTAAACTCATAATAACATTGTCTAGCTGTTCCTAGAAAATGGCCAGTATATGCTGTATAGGTCAGGTTTTCAGGTTCTGAACAATCTATTGAGCTTAATCATTCTTGTCCATCAATCATTGCCGTTTATAAACGCAGAAAATCGAAGTATTTAAATGAAAATGCTGGTCGAGACTACTACGGCTTGTCGTTCGACCAACATTGAGACATAAAAAATCTAAAGCTTTCTTCACTGCAGCAACTCCCAATTGTTGAGGGCTGTTAGAATACACAAAAAATGTATAAAGTACTTTTCTCTACGAAGATGTGGCAGCAGTCTTTTTTCTACTTTTTCTTCTACTTTTCATCGGTTTCATGCTTTTCATAGTTTTCATACTATTCTACTTTTCATCCCCTTCACAGTAGACATTTTTATATAGAGCAGGCGGATATATGCTGTAGAACTGATATGAAAGCCTATAAACATGTTTTCTATTGCTTTTCGAATATGTTCTTTCTAATGATGAGATTTTCAGAACTCAAAAGTAATTCCTTGTGGGTTTTCTAGAGACCGGATCTCTGGAAAACCCATAAAAAAAATTTTTGCATTTCGAAAACCTCACTATTGGAGAGATCATATTTGAAAACCTATAAAAAATGTGTTTATACACCTGCGTGCTATTGCTAAAATAAATATCCAGCTTCCTAAGCAAAATTTGCTGCGGACAGGCTTTCAACTGTATAATTCAGTTTGACCGAAAATATTTCTGCAGAAAAATTAAAAAGCTATTTATCATTCGACGTAGTTTTTCACCGTGGTCCCGAATATGACTTTATGTTATGGAAAAAGTGCTCTTATGGGGAAGAAAAACGCGAATTACCTCGAAAACCCTATGGGTTTTTGTAAAATCAATAACTCGACTTAGAATAAAAGACGAGATCATCATAAATACACGATAGGCTGAGGAACATTTTCATGTAATTTGAAGGTCTATTCAGGCTGCGATTTTAGCGCTGTCACTGCACTGAGGTTGTCTCATGACGGACAGTAGTAATCTAGACTACTAGACCTTTTTTCGTTTCGTACAGGATGCAAAATGAGTACCTTCTATTATCAGGAGATGCAATAGGTTGTGCTGATCCTGAATATGTGCTTTGGATAGGGTAATATTGCACGTCTGTACATAGAAATACGAATCTTTGCAGATGTGTCATATTTGACGGTGTTTTTTGTAATGTTCGTAAGTTAACTTACTCATCGAAGGAGTTCATTACTAGTCGATCATTATATATCATTCGATAGCGCTTTTCAAGGACAACATTTACTACTGTTCGAATTCAAAAAAGCTCACTTGTCGATTTTTGCTCAATTTTCATACTTTTCATCGCTTTCATGAAAAGTATGGAAGCGATGAAAAGTGTGAAAGCCACCAAAAGCATGAAAAACAGTAAAGATTGAAACAGATGAAAAGTTGAAAGCTTGAAAGGCATGAAAAGTATGAAAGCGCACAACTTACACTTACACTATAACAATATATTCATGCAGTACATTTCACCTTACACATTTTTTGTGTATTCTAACAGCTCTGGAGGCAATTGTTGATTATGTTTAAGGGAAAAAACACATGAAAGAAATTTATTCAGTGGTATTGGATATTTTTTTGTTCTAAACATAGTTTATTTGATTCATCAAAGCGGGCGGGCTCATTACATGTTGGTTTTCTTTTATTTACTTAAATTCAGCTAAGTAGTTCGAGGTTGCATGTAATACAACAAAGAAAAAGTATTTTGATAAACAATCTATTGAGCTTAATCGCTCTTCTAAAAAGTGGTGGAGTTTTGTTAAGCATGCGGTTGGCAAAGATAGTCAATCTTCTACCTCCGCATTGTCAGACAATATTTCTAATGAAGCGAAGGTCATTTATGTATATTAAAAATAGAAGAGAGCCTAGCACTCTACCTTGTGGCACAGAATACAAAATATCCAACTCTGATGATGTATTCCCGTCCACTACTGTCACAATTCTGCGATTTTCTACATAACTCTCAAACTATTTAAGTAGAGAGTCGTTTAGACCTGCACTGCGAAGTTTCATTAATAAACCAGTATGATTAACTTTATCAAATGCTTTTGAAAAGTCCAGAAATGCTGCTAGAACTGAAGATCCGGCATTAAAAGACGTTCGGTATGATGAATAATCTTAATGAGTTGACTAACTGTTGAAGAACCTCTAAAAAAACCAGCTCGATTTTTATGGAAGAAACTATATGTACTCAAAAAGCCGTAAAAATCTTTAAGGATTTAAAGATGATACACTCGAACATTTTAGATACAGAATTTAAAAGAGTTATTTGACGATAATTAGAGGTTAGTTGAGAATCATCGGATTTATATAAGAGGACAAATATGTCGCAGCTTCCACGAGGTAGGAAATTGTCCAGTGTCTAATGATTTATTGAATAAATATGTTAATATTGGCGCAATAGAGATAGCTGCTTCTCTAACCATACGGTTAGTTATACGTGGCGAACTGGCTTTTGAAATGTCTATTTTTGATTGTGCAAAAAATCCGGTCTACGGTAGGTCATGGGCTGGACTGGGCCCGATCGGACTTCTTTTAACCCAGCCCATTCGGAGACCTAATTGGTAGCTCCACTCATAATATTATGTTACAAGATGTGAGTCTTTAAAAAAATCAAGGAGCACATATTCTTGCTCGCCGTGAAATTCTCTATTGAATGATATATAAGACATCGAAAAATAAAATTTTTGCTGTAACCTTGCTTTACGTGCACCTTATAATTAAACTAATATTTTCACTTAGCTGAAAATTAGAGAAATGTTTTAGTTTTAAATTTTTTGGCTAAATTTTTCCAGTTTGTAGAGGACAGTTCGAAGTCATGTTCTGAAGTTTCTTCGGCTTGCTGACATTGTTTGGTTGAGAAAAAAATTAATTAGTTAAAGAAATGCTGTTAAATTTTTGAGCACGAGGCTGTTATAAAAAAATTCTAATGAACGAATTGGATCCTAAAAATTATGGTTTTGATTTGATAGTATTACAAGAATTAATCATTTGAAGTTGCAGAATAGATACAATCAGAAAAAGCCCAAGCCCGTAAAGTTATTTTTTGTCCCGGGCTCGTCTATTCGGCGCGACGGGATTAGGGGCTGCCATGCAGGAGTCTACGGTAAAGAAATAATTAGCTTAAGAAGTGGAAAAGGACAGAATAATGCTTGATGCTTAATATTCCACATCAGCTGAGTTAATCCGGATATTCCATCATATCCTTTGTGAACAAAACTTCAGCGAAATTCTCACCATGTTTACTAATATCTCATGATCTTGCAAAATTGTTTCACAACTTTAAAGTATTCTGCGAGATAGCATGAGCGTGTGTATACCCTTTTGCATGAGAAAATAACGTAATCTGTATTTTTATTATTCTCGCTGCGCTATTGTTATGCTTTTTTGTACTTTATTCTGCACAACCTAGGAAAAAAAGTTTAATACATACCTCAGTATCCCAATGATCGAGATCTAATAAGAAACTTGCAACACTTTACAGAGCAACAACCATCCATGAAATTTCGGCGCCCTCTGGGTGCCGGGGGTTTTCCGACATGACGCATCCATTGGGATACTTAGTTCTTTTATTCCCCATACATTTCTCTATCGATCTAGACAAGAAGCAAGTTTTTATGATGAATGGAGAATGGATAGGAATTCTTTTAATAATAGTCCCTTGTTCAAAAACTTTACAATATTTTTTAAAGGAATTAATTTTTTTCTTAGGCAAATAATGTCAGTAAGCCTAGAGAATTGCTGAACATATACTTCGAAGTATCCTCTACAAACTGGGGACGTTAGACAAAAAACTAAATGGGGGAGCTCCCGTTAAGAAAGTTTGGTTATGTTTTAGAGTTTCTGAAAAACCGGGTCTCTAAGGGCCCGTATGCCGCTCCGACTATGAGATTCGAAATCAGCATCAGTGATAACCTATGGCTGTGTGTGTTTCGACGAAAAAGCTAGGGAACAATTGAGGCGGTTCCCTCGTTAGCTCGAAAGTTGTTCTCGTTTTAAACTCACACAAACACTTTTAAAAAGTCCACATGATTATGAAAAGTGTACATCGTTATCATTTCCGACCATGATTTGAAATCAGCATCAGCACGGCCTATGTGTGAAAAGCTCGGGACACTTAAAATAAGAAGAGATTGACAAGTTGACCGAGGTAACGCAATGCTGGTATATACGAAATATGAATGGGTAGGTGAGAAGTTAATGGGCTTTCTCTGATGTATTGTTGCATCTTGCTGTCACCAATTTGGATGGCTCAGTCGCTGTCGAATATTTGAATACTGCACAAAAAGATCTTGCTCAGTTCCTATATGCGAATCACTCAGTAAACCAGAAAGCTGTTTGTTAATGAATTGTGGTCGTATGCGTTTATGAGTAAGCGGGTTCTAATTCGATAGAATTCACCTTGAAAGTCTTTGGCGTCAGCATATTCGAATAGCTCTAACATAGGATGAGATCGGAATATTTTGTTTTATGCGTGATGGGTGAGCACTATCAAATATAAGGTCGAGAAACAAGTTTCCGGTATTCAGATGTGGTGGCTTGTTACTGAAACCACAACTGTTAGATAAGGGCGTATTTACCTATATCAGAGGTAAGTTTGATATGTTCGTCTTGTTCGTTGAGTCGTGCCAGCGGTCGTTCAATGTCCGCCGAGTGTGAGTTAGTCGTAAAAAAGATATCGCCACGAAATCTTACAAATTGCTGTTGATTCTCTAGCTGTTAATTCATGAATGTGCACCATTGCTACATGATTTAGGTACCTTTTTGATTGGATGCTGATATTCTTTGCAATTTTGGACTTCTAGGTTGCTGAGCTAGTGTTTCTCTTTGACTTCGTTGACTAAAGTTTTCTTTTAAGTTGGTGGCATTTGCACTGGTTGATATGTTGAGCCGATATGCTTAGACCGTACAACCGAGGATCGGGAGGAGAAGGTGCATGCGACTGAATCATCAGACAATATTTAGTTCTGATATAACAGCTGTTCACTCTACTGTAGCATACCATATTCTTTTTTAAAGTAAGTGAAATGGCTAAAACGTTTCTCAGTAATGAGCTTTATAATACATTCAAATAGATACCGCATATAGGCGCACTACAACTATATATCCATAGGTTGAAACTTTCACTTTCAGTTTACAGTGAAAAGATGAAATTTCACTGTATGAATTGACTCTCATTAAAATTTTTAATGCATTCAAATCAACTTGAATTATTGGGAAGGTAACAAACAAAAGAAGACTTTCTTTGGGAAAGAAGTAATATTTCTATTTTCAAATAAACCAAGAGAATCTTATTCCTACTAGATTCTTTTCGAAAATAAATTAAATGTGACTGATAGTTTCCTGACGGAAACAAAATAAGTTATTCAAATAATGGTTCTGATTTTAAAAATAATTGCTTGCACATTTCTGTAAAGTTTGCTAAAGTGGAATGCATTTTAGATCATCGATTTGTACAGTTCTATATTATTCAAAGTTTTGAATAGGATATTTTGGCACAAACTGCCATTTTGTCCAGTTTTGCCTTTGTTGGTGAGCGTCTTCGTCCTTCAATATTACGGTTGCTTTAGCATAACCGGATGCGTCAGGTAATGAAGTCCTCGAATAATTCTGTGAAAATAGTTGTATAGCCAATTTTGATCGATTTTGGTTTGACAATAAAAATTGTTCGTAAAATTGTCGAAAAGCGATGAGTGTCGCATTTTCAATGGCTGCCACCTCTTTATCAGTTCGGTCAAAATCCAAATTTTGGGAATATATTTGTTGCCAGTTAGCTAAAATCAACAGTGATTAGTAAGAGTGAAGAGTAATACACAAGAAGGAGAATACCTGCTGCACGAGCTGCCATGGTTAAGAATGGCGCTCTCTTGAGCTGAATTAACGTCTGTTTTTCCTGTTGAAATTGTTGTTCGCTCTTTTGTTGAATAAATTTATGGTAGTAATCTCGTAAAAATAATTCAATTCGTTCATCACCTTCAGCTGCATTGAGTTTGTTGCTTTGTAAATAAGTAGTGAGATATTTGTGGACCATATTGGCGGAGACTCTGAGTAGGGCACCGACCCTGTAGCCCAATTGTTCACTAGTACGTAACTCATTGAATATTTCATTTGACAAAGAGCTGACTAGGAGATCGAGTTGAACACAACATGAAATGTTTTGATACGAACAAATAGGGAAAATTTGCAATATCACTGAATTGGCGGAATCAGGAATCGTATTTTTGTACACATAATTACCGTCATTGGGTATTCGGAGTTGTACAGCTGTTTTCAGAACGGCACTTTGAATCAAAGCAAGTTGATAACCTTGATCATATATCGCTTTCATTACCAACGTTTGTGCATAATCTAAAGTGAATGGGAATGTTAGAAAAAGATTGTTGATAGAGTTATCTTGTTACCTTTTAGCGTTGTACTATTCATGTCTCCATGACCAAATATTTCAATTTGCACGATAGAGTCAATGAACACTCGTCTTAACTCTCTTGTTCTGTTCCATGTCATTGCTTCTATAGTCCGTAGTTGCTGGTCTAATGACTGAGTATTATTCGTTATCCACATGTTAGCGTAGGTAAATGCTTGTTGCAGGTAATTGGACTTATTAAAATTTGTGTATTGATCGATGAGATTCTGTCGCAACGACAGAAAATCTTGTTCATTGATATTAGGTAAGCGTAAAAAATGATTAATCAGCGTTTTCAGCATCTGTTCACTCAGAGCTGTCCAGCTATTGATAACTGGAAAATAATAGTGTTAGGGCATAGTGTTTCTCACCAGTATCAGCTTACCTAATGTCATTCCATTGTCATTTGTGTTAACGATAAAGGTACTTCCCAATAATCCGGCATAATATTTCTCGATTTTCAACGATTCCTTCAACAGTTCCGAGTAGACATTCAAAAACATTTGCAGTTCAGGATTGTCGGGTATCAGATTAGATGAAAAACGGGTAAAAAATAATGTTTTGGGCAGAAGAAATTCCGTATCTAATTGATGCCAAACAACTAGACCATAATTATTCAAAATAGGCAGCGGCCAATAAGTTACATTTACCGTAGAAATGATTACATTGGTATCGATTATCTTCTGAATTTGGTCTACATAAAAGTAAAGCAGTATACATTTCAGTGTGATTCTGAGTAACCCTTCTTCCATAATAGAAGACCACTGTTGATTGTATTACTTGAAAGTCAAATAGAAGACCATGAAGGTCTTCCACCATTTAAAGCGACAAAATTTGACCGCATAGGAGACCACCCTTTAGAATTTGACTTGTCGGACAAAATAGAAGATCAGACGGTCTTCTATTATGGGAGAGGGAACTATTATTTACCAAAATACGGATTATGTAACAAAAAAAAACTGAGTCCATAAGTATTGTTATTTGAGTCAAAACGTAGATACTTCCATCGTTGAGCAAGAAGTGGTGGAATTTTTTCGTTGATAAACTTCGCACCCAACCACGGTTCAGTGTTCCAAGTCAGATTTAGTCGCTGAAATGAACTACTGGCGACGTGCAATTGCATGTTATCCGGTGAGCACATGTTTAAAAGTCGTAAAAATTTTGATTCATCGTAAATATACTGTTCTGGATTTTTTAATACGAGGGTCATTGGTTTTTGTTGAAGATCGAATGCTAAATCGGCACTCTCATCAATCGATCTCCTTCTCTCTCTGAATGTGTGTGCTAACATTGCAGTTTTTTGCATCATCAACCAAAATTCTCGCCATTGTGAGACACTTTTTTTGAGCAAATCGATATATATGTAAATAACATCAACAATTTCGTTAATAAATGGAAGAGCTATGAATTTAATTAATTAGTTTAGAATTAGGAAAATCGATAATTGCTTACCCTTTAAGTTCAGCTGAATTTGTATAAAAAACAAACTAAATACATTTTGTCGTGAATTTCGAATGATTTTAACATCATTGGTCCATCCGTTCTTTTGCAATACTCTTACCAAACATCCATCGCAATCGTAGGTCATCAAATAGTCGATAAATGTCAACGGTTCACTCTGATATTCTTTCAGCATCGATGGTAAAACCCAGTAGACAGTCATTTGGTGAAACTCTTTATTGGGTAATATTAATATTTGACGCTGGAGATGCGTATTTAAGAATGGTAATTCACCAGTGAAATTTAAAAATTCATCCTGAGGAAGCCCAGTAGGAATTTCAGAAAATAATTTAACTGTGAGTTGTTCCAGTTCTTCAATACTTTGGGTCGCTAGATACACAAAAGAAGGAGATTTAAAAGTGGAAAGTGTTTTTCCTTACCAATGATAACTAATTTCATATTTTTAGATGTGTAATATTTTTGATAAAAGTTATTCAACAAATCGCCAATGTTTTCTCTTTTCAAGATGTCTAATGTGCCAACATTCAGTCGTGAATAGGGAAATTTTGGATTTGATGAGTTTTTCAGTATGAAAATTTGTTTCCATACATCGTTCGATTTTGCATTTAAATATTCACTGTTCACTGCTTCCATTTCTTTATCATACCATTTTTTTGTGAGTAACGGAGAGACAAAAAATTGAGCGAAACGATCTACATAAGAAATATCAATGACTGATGAATGCAAGTGTCTAGCTCTCACCTAACATTTCTGGAAATGCATTTTTGTTGACGTCAAAAAAATAGACAGTTTGTTCGTCTGTAGTAAATGCATTTCGATTACCACCATGCTGTTGATTGTAGTCACTATACTCATTTACATCTGGATACTTTTTTGTGCCTGAATATACAGAAGGACGAATTTTAGTTAAGGATAATAAAAACATGATTACCCATAAATAACATGTGCTCAAGAAAATGAGCCAGTCCTTGTGCCTCGATGGGATCTTGCCATGAGCCAACAAATACTGATAAAGCAGCAGATGATTTAGGTGTTGTTGGATCGCTAATTAATAGGGCTGTCAAGCCGTTTGATAGGACAATACCACCAAATGTACGCTTATCCATCTTTGACTTTTTAAATTCGGAATTATCAATACGACGAACTGTAATGAAAGAAACAATTCTGTACAGACTCAGTACTGAATAAAATCTTCATTTCTTTCTTCGAAGATGATGGATGAAAGGAAATGTTCGTTTTACGTGCACCATAATCGTAAATTAGAACTGGGTAATTCACGGCGAAATTGTTTTCCAAACTATGCAGAATATTTTTCTACCAAAAAATCTATTTTTCTATTAAACTCTTCGTTCAGGATTCTGCAAGATACTTTTACAGCAGAAATATATTGCAAAGAGTACGAGTGCTTACTCTAGGTGGAAATTGCTAACAGTTTCTCATATTTTTCGTTCCCCAGAAAACATAAACTAACACTGGAAGTTCCCAAACTAGTCTTTTCCCTCCACCAGTACAAATAAATGACGAGAGCCTAAACTAGACATGGGTAGTTCCGCGGAGATCCGCTCAGTATTACATGATCTGAAAGCCGGTCCGAATGACTCTTGTTATCGTCCAGAGCATGAAAAATCACTTATAAATCCATACGTTTTAGCTGTTCAAACGGCTCCGAAGCCACCCATAACTCGCAAAAGATACTTTTACCCTTTTTGAAGAGCTCCTGAGGAGCTAAATATCAACTTCACCACTACATCCGAAGTTTCCTAACAGTGATGATTGAAAAGAGCACAAACGGTGGCATATGTTCTATCAAAAATTTAATTTTTCTTCATCATTTTTATACAAAGCGTTTCCATGAAAAATTTAATCGTCACTGGCCAAAATCACGTTTCTTAATTCGAGAAAAATTCATCCAAAGATTAAGAGAAATAATTCTATTTTAAAATGAACACAAAGCGTCACTGAAGCATATCTGAATGCCAGAAGAATAAGTTCGAAAATACTTATCATTTAGCTCCAATACCCCAGTATCCAAGACCTACTTTTGAACTTTGTGAGCTGTCCCCACGAAAACTAGACGTAAACTTTTCGAGTTATTATTATCTTAGATACTATTCGAGTAGCTCTACAAAAGCCACCAAGTTTCAAACGCGACTAAACTAATTTTTGTGATCGGTTTTCCAGAAATCCTGGTCAAAATCCTAATCTCATATTTCATAACCAACTTTGATCTCGGACTCGTGTTTGGACTCAAAAATACTGCATAATTCAGTGTTTTCTACTCTTCCGAAGGCTATCTAGAAGTCCAGATTTTTGCAAAGATTTCTGGAAATTTGTTCGACAGGGTGTGAAACCTGACGGCTTTTGTAGAGCTAGTCGAATGGTATTCAAAATAATAATGACTCGAAAAATTTACATCTAGTTTTCGTGGGGACAGCTCACAAAGTTCAAAAGTAGGTCTCAGATGCCGGGGTATTGGAGCTAAACGGTAATTATTCTAGCATTCAGACAAGCTTCATTGGTGTTTTTACTTAGCTACAAATTTTGTAGAAATTCTTATTGAGCGAAAATGACTGTACACATTGAAGATAAAAACTGGAGGGCACAGAAATAAATACGTAACTTTCGATGTTCTATCTAACTACGAAGAACAGGGCGCTCTTAGTTCTTTCCTAGTCTAGAAATATTCGGTTAGAAAAACGTGAAAAATCCTAAAATTCAGGAAGCGACTATGGGATTTTATATACTTTCAGGAATTCTAGAGAACGCATATAGTCAAACCTTCCCGGCTTTCACTCGTGTATAAAGTGAGCGTACCTGTCCTGAATTATCGAACTATTTTTGAAAATCGATAACCTTGTAATCATGCGCAACGTGTCATTAATTAACCGAGCAAAAAAGTAAGATTGATACCTATGACGCTGGTATTGGAGGTAACATTTGTGTTGAGATTTGTGTTAGGCGATGGGTTTCTTCTTGCAGCAGTAAAAGCAATAGGTAATATGATTGCAAGGAGAGCAATAATACCTACAGCAAATCCAGCAGCAATAATAGTTTTTCGTCTCTTTCGTTTTTGTTTGAGTTTTTCATCAAATTTTGTTGTAATAATTACTGTTCTCGATTCAGTTGGGGGTATAATTGTGCTTATCTCCATTAAGAATAATAAATAACGAAAATTATATGAACTACACTATATACTTTTACTTGTTTATGTAGTGTGTGCGTTGACAAACGAGTCTTAATTTCAAAAGATTATCTTTGAATGTTATCATTTTAACCTTATTCTTTTTGTTTTACGCACAAATATTTTTTCTCTTTTCTTTTGTTCTGAACTATGCAATACGTTTCGTATTACCAATGAATTTGAAATTTTGGCATAAAAAGTAAACGTTGGACCTTTGAACTCGTATGTCTTTTAGGTGACTTATGTGGACTTGGACCGACTTTTAACGTCTATTAAATTCTTTGAAAGTCACCTAAGTCCTTGAAAGTAGCCGTAAATCCTCAGATTTTTAGAAACTTTCGTGGATTTTGACGAGCTTTGAAAGTCCATAACTGGGACTTGAATCTGCTTTTTCTCCATTGGCAATAATGCATTTTTGAGTTAAAACACTAATGTAGCTAATTTCATAAATAAAAACCGATAGTGGCTCCAGTGTAAAAATTATGTATTTTTCAGCCTAAGACGCTCTTTTTGTTACATATCGGAAGTTTATTTGATTTATACAAATCAGTTTCTTGACAAATAAACAGGCAATATAGAGCACAAATGATGAATTATAACTATTCTTCTACTTCTATATTTTTCCCGTTGGTAAAAATAAAGACAGAAAGCTTGTCAGAATACTCTGGCCTGTTTCTTGTGTTATAGTTATTATCAGTTACATATAACCAGAAATAATGTACGGTATGCTTTTTCTAATTTAACAAACCAAAATTATTCAAAGGTACCTGGTTGAAATCACAGCATTATATTTCTTTTTTTTAATACTGCTTTGGCTGAAAGTCTAAGGTCATACGAAATTAGCGTCGACATCCGTAAAACACAAGAATGCGAAAACAACGAGACAACGAGAGGGTCAGGTTCTGAGCGATGAAAAGCATATGGGTAGATAAATATCATTTCGCATTGAATTTTGCTCTATTATATCACTAATTAATTGTTTAGCTTTGATAATTCAACGGTAATAAATTATCAACCGCAAAGTTACAGTGAAGAGGATGCCAGAAATAGTAGTAAAATGGTAAAATGAAAACTCGTCAAGATCAAACGTTAACGTTGGATGATACGCTAATAACACTTAATCAAAATAAAATTAAAACAACGAACGAAACACATGCAAATGATTTGTTATATAAACAACGTCTTCGAAAAGTAAGAAAGAGAACAAAAGTAGTTTTTACGTATCTTCTTTACTTTTTGCCATTTTTGTTTCAAATGTTTTCAGATACTACATAAAAAAGTTTAGAATATTTTGTATGTCATATATATGATATGAGTTATTTCGAGCATAGTGTGGAGAATGGAACTGTACATAATAAGCTAAAATGGTGGATGAATGGAATGGAGTAAACGAATTGGCCCTAATACTTAAAAATGTATATTTTATCGAATATTCCCTAGCAATCACAACTATACTCAGGTCATCCCCCATTTAGTCTTGGCGGGATAGCGCTATGTATTAACATTGCTTTGATTTTTTTAACATTAACAGGAAGGATAAGATCATCCGAAAATTTCTCAAGTGTTTTTAAAACAGTTATGGCCTATCTTTCGAGATCTTTAGTGTTGTCACGTAATCTTTTTCCAGACTTCCTTTAAGTACTAAGGTAACACAGTCAGCAAACAAATGAGATACAATATGCGCAAAGTCAGATGGGAGGAACTGGATGTGTATATCGGACGTAAAACTGCACAATGTGAGACTTGTCTGGAGTTCACTATGTTGTACTCGGACTTTTCTTAGAGAACGTAGTGCAATCAAATTTTAATGTTATCTAAATAGGTCACATTTTCGCTAGTCTAACAAAGTGCCCTGTAAGAGACACTGTTTTTCGTCTCGTTTAAAATGAGAAAAAAACGTTGATATCGTCAATCATACAACTAAAATACTTCCTTTACTTTCACTCAAGAGTCTCCAAAAGTCAATGGTGATTTTTTGGCCCTTAGACCTTACTTGTTCTTGTCGTTTTTATTGTCTTTGGTACGCCGGTGCCAGCCTTACTCGTAAGGGGACTGGTAGTGGTGGAGGTGGTATTGAGGGGAGTAGAGGGAGCGGTTGACATTCATGGGGGACATATTTGTGTACATCAAGTCTTTATCAGGATTTAGGCCTCTGTTATGGTTTTGGTGGACTAGTGTTGATTGAACTAAAGTTGAGAGTCTAAGACAAGATGACAGACAGTTTCAGAAGACACGAGAGTGTTTATGGATTTGTTTAAATTGAATTCGTGTGTGAAACTTTTCGATCAGTATGTGGTCGTGGAACTGTAAAGATGTCTGACTTGTTCTTCACATCGTTGGTCATTCTGTCAGGGCTGAGTTCTTCCGGGTAAAGGTCGAGTGAATCGAAGATGAACGTGTTCGTTATATAACGTTTATAACACATGTTCACCCTATTTCGTCTGAAAATTTCTCACACTGCGTTTAAATTCAGAGTAAGAATTTGGGTCCTGTTGGATGACATCCTAAACTTTTTTTCTATTTCGCAAGACATATGCTTCATATTATGCAATGAAATCGGTATTAGCGCAAGATAAGACGAGTCTTTGTGTTTATATAGCTCCGACCAAAGCTTTGGTGAATCAAGTAGGTGCAACAGTTTACGCAAAATATGGACCTATATTTGATATATTTACACGAGATTATCGTGTGAGTGTTGAACAATGTCGAATATTAGTTACTGTTCCAGAATGTTTCGAAATTTTACTTTGATCTCCTTATCATCAACGATGGTGCAAGAATACTCAATATGCAATATTTGATGAGATTCATGGCATGAGCGGTGAAGCGAGAAGTGAAGCTTGGGAAAAAGTAATGCTATTAATTAATTATCCTATGATTGGATTATCAGCGACAGTTGATAATGGCGACGGTCTTCAGATGCACAACTCCGTTTTCAATATTATCATGCCAGTTGATTCAGAAAAGTGAGCTGACCAAAATCCTAAAAAGATTTGGACTCATATTACTTCTGTCAAAACTTATGCTTCCTTTTTGTTCTAAAGGAACACTGTGTGCAGTAATATCCAGTCAAAGCAAAGAATTAAGAACTAAAATTTTCTTCTTTACCTATGCGAACAGTCTGTTAATATTACAGAAAATTTGTGCGTTAAATCTTTCTAAATTCGCCAGTTACCGAATTTTTCTTCTTGAAGGAAAACAGCGTTTTCCTAAAACAAGAGAACATCCTATAAAAACCCGGACATCTCTGTCATTTTTCTTTTGAGATAATTAATCGTCATGTGCTATCCTTCACAGTGAACGTATACTGCAGTGTTTGATGCGATGAAAGATAAAGCAGAATGTCTGATAAAATAATGAACCAGCTGATATGGAGTAATATCCTGTAGACAAACATTATCTTTCTGGAAAAAAGTCGACTTTCCAATCTTCCCGCAGGGCAGTTGGCTCTCAAGTTCTCTCATGAACTTTAGTCTTGGTCAATATAAACTTTTCGTTTTCGTTTGAAGACTAACGCTAGACAGAAGCTGATGCCATCATTATCAGATTATTTTATTAACGGCTGGATAACCGAACGTTCAAAGTAAATGAATATTCTCGATTAGTATGTGATCAATTCAAGATATGATTAAAAATAAAGAAGATAAACTCATACAATCAGTTACACAAAATTTAAATGAAATGACTACTGTTTCAAATATTCATTATCCAGAACCAAAAAGACTCTCAGCCTCAATTATGTGAAGAAATGGCTCTGAACGTTTTCTTACATTTTGAAAACGAAGAAGAAAAGTTAAGAACAACAGTATACAAAACACAAATAGAACAAATAGAAAGTCGTTTATCACAAATAGAAAAAATTAGAAAATTATTTAAGAAAAAAACATCAAAATCAACAGATCATAGTACTGAATCAGTACTACTGATAACGATCAGAGGACGACAGATGATAATCAGATGATGAGAGTCTAATATTGAACAAGATTTATTCTATGAAATATTACCCCAGTGTACATTAGCAAATGTACGTGAAAGTAATAAAGAATTAGTTGATTCATTACTTAAGCGCGCATCAAATGAAAATCCATTACTCGTTAAATTAATGAAACGTAGTATTACTTATCATCATGGTGGCGTGAATAACAAAGGATGTGTAGCTGTTGAAGCTTTATTTCGTAATCGTTATATACAAATTGTATTCTCAACATCAACTTTAGGTGAAAGACAAAACATCTGAACAATAAGATCAAAATAATTTTTTTTCTTTCAGCATTGGGTATACATATGCCAACAAAAACAGTTGCTTTTGCAATGGATTCAATTTATTTAGATGCTTTACAATATCGACAATCGTCTGGAAGAGCTGGTCGAAGAGGATTTGATATTCAAGATAGAATAACTTATTTTGAATATTTAATCGAAAATACTGTTATTTTTCAGGTAATATTGTATTTCTTGATATACCATTATCGAAAATTCGTCATTTAACAATATCATCTATTCCAAATATACGTGCTCATTTTCCGACATCTGTAACATTTTTAATACGTTTACTTCATCTATATACAAAATCGAATAATAAAAATGATGCATACAATCATGCATTAATTGCTTTAGAATATCATCTTATCTCATCAACATTGAAACAAATTTTAGTTGATATACAAACACGTTATCATTGTTTACATACATTAGACTTTTTATACCGTCTAGATCTAATTAATTCAAATGGTGAACTTATTGGATTAACTGGACTAGTAATACATTTACATTATTTTGAACCATTCAATATTCTACTGATTTATTTAAGGGGGGGGGGGGGGGGGGGGGGGGGGGGGGGGGGGGGGGGGGGGGGGGGGGGGGGGGGGGGGGGGGGGGGGGGGGGGGGGGGGGGGGGGGGGGGGGGGGGGGGGGGGGGGGGGGGGG